CTGCAAGAGGGATTGCAATCGACCTGGATCACTTCCCGCTGCCTCTAGAGCCCTCGCACGCATGTACTTTGTCCATTGCAAGCGCGGGCGCCCCCTGGTGCGCGCACTGGCCCAATCTCTTGGCTGCGCGTCGACTGCCACTCCCGTCTCGAACACCATGTTCCTTGGAAGGCTGTCTGGACAGGCTGCCGCCAGTTTACCATAAAGTTGCAATTGACGTCGTAGTAGAAGTACAGCTAACGGTTTGATGTTTGCTGTTGACCTCACTGTCGCATTGCTTATTCGTTAAACGTACGCAGGCGGAATTCTGCGGATACGTCGGAGGCACTTTGCTTGAAAACTGTCCAGTCGGTCCCTGTCTGCTTTCAATAGAATACAACTTTCCAGCCCACGCAAAAGCTTCGAAAACATACAGACGCCCAACACCTTGGTTTTATGATGATTGCTCATGTTGGCGTGATTCCATACTGTGCACATCTTGTCGAATGCCCCTCTTGCTTCCCCGAGCCTTCGTGTTACCTCGGTTCTGGCGTTCCCGTCAGCGCTCAACAATCCACCAATATACACTGCGTGGTCCATGCACGCGATCGGGTTGCCATCCGGGCCTGCAACATTCGCTTCTGAGCGGATCCTGGTTTTCGACTCGTTGAGCTCGAGACCAAGTGCTCTCCCAGTTTGTATAATAGCATCCAGATGTAATTGAAGAGCCGCCGGGCCTGTGGTTCCGAGCGTCGTGTCGTCGGCATATAACATCTTTTTATCCACATAATTTGTCGAACCATTGTCGTAAGCAGACCTCTCCAGCTTTTTGCCCACCGCCTCCAGCAGCACCGACGCGACGAAGATGAACAAATCTGGTGATAATGGGCATCCTTGCGCTATGCCCGCAGCCTGGATTCTAGCGGCGGCGGCTGTATTCCCATCTTTCACAATGAACTTTCTGGCCCGGTAGACCGCCTGCACCGCGTCGACCATGGCCGGGGGCGCGCGGATGCGGCGGAGAGCAGACATCAAGCCTTCTGGTTTGATTCTGTCGAACGCTTTACTCCAGTTGCGTCGATGAGCCGGCGCGCCAGGAACAGAGCGTCCGTCGCGCCTCGTCCAGGGCGAAATCCGCGCTGACACCGCCTTAGAGATTTCTCTGTACCACCAAGTTTTAGCCTCTGCAGAATCATACTTGCCAGTGCTTTGTATCCAACATCCATAACCGATATTTGTCTGTAGTTGCTGGGCTGCGACGCGTCACCTTTCCTGAAAATAATGGCGACGGACACTTCCCGCCACTCCTCGGGCATGTCTTTCTGCTGCCAGCATGTATTGCAAAAGTCCAAGAAGATTCCAAGAACCGCGTAATTTTGCCATAGAGCTTGCCACAAATCCGGCGGCGCGCCGTCGTTGCCAGCTGCTTTCTCCCTTTTGAGAGACTCAACTGCGCGACGTAGTTCTTCCACTGTGATGTCTTGTGCATTCACCACGAGAAACCCACCCTCTTTCCAGAATGTTGAACACGTTTCCATTGCTTTTTCTCCAAGTAGTCGGCCATGGCTTCTCCCTTGAACTCGGCGCCCACGAGCTCCCCCTGTAGATTTCGAACCCGCCCACGCTGCGTGGACCGCCCTTTCATCAGAGACCAGATCGCTCCCCATCCACCGTGATCGATTGAGTCTTCCAACCATTTCTTTCGGTCTGCCCGTGCTGAGGATTGGATTCGTTTGTTCAGTCTTCTGACCTCGTCATTGTCGCAGTTGCGCTGTCTACAAACGTTCCTTTGCTAGATAAATTGCAACGTCCGCTGCGTGATCCATGGTCGGCACGGGGTCGCGGCGAGGGCCGGTCTATGTTCTTTGGCTGAATGCAACATGCACAAAGCGATTGTCCCGGCCGTCGAGTGCGTGGATTCGCATTGCGGTCTGTTGCTCCATTCTGCGACAAATCCAGATCTGTATTTCTGTTTGACCCCCTCGTCCAGGAGAGCTGCCAGATCCATGTTTGGTTTTCGGTGAAGGCGTTCAATAATAGGACTATTGATTCCCATGTCCACAACGGTAATGACATGATGTGATTGTAATATTCGATACCTATCGCCCCAGATGCTGCGTCGATTTGACATCCAATCAGCCTCGACGATCACGTGGTCAAGCTGCTCGAAACTGCCAGAAATTATGTTATCCATTGGTCGCGCGCCCAGGTCGTGATATGTTACTTTTGAAGTTGGACCCGCGTCGAAAAATGCGTTCGCGACGCGCGCCTCCATACCGGCGCATAGTTCCACCGGGAGTTCTCGATTTGACCGGGCAGCCCAAATGCCGCGAGTGTTCTCGAACACGAACTTTCTTATCACATCTTCTTCCCCGGCATACTGCTGCGACAATCTGGCGTTGAAGTCACTCGACAATACCGCGGGCCCAGGGGGCCGGCATCTCCTGGTGAATTTGCCCAGCTCGGCAAAGAAATCGCGACGAACGTCGTAATCGTACTTAATTGTGAAAGCGTAGGCTGTGACCAATGTCAGCGTACCTCCTGCGACTCGCATCCGTAAGCTCGCCATTCTGTCGCTGTATCGCAGATGACCTTTCACAGCATGTTTCGCCCAAGGTGCAATAATAACCCCACCCCAGCGTATTCCCTGCTTTCTTTCTCCGTCCCAGATGAAATGGAAAGGTAATTTTCGAATTCGTAAACTGGTGATCCACGACAGCGCGTCTCTAGGAGACACAGCACCGCAGCGTCCAGATCCTGCATATGTTTGATCACTTCGTAAAGCTTGCGCGGCCGGTCCTGGCTGATGCCTTCGACATTCCAGGACGCAACCCTACCGCAAGAAATCGGCCAAGATGAAAACGTCACCCATCGGCCGGTCGAAGTTGCACTCGAATTGCTGCCGATGCGCCGTCCGAGTCCCTATTCAGGAGACCTGCCGCCTTTCTGACCTTTCCCCCCGCCTTTAGGCGTCATTTGCACGGGTGGTTAGCTGCTGTACTTCAGGGCGCTTTGTAAGATCATCCAAAGAAGCCCACACATTGCCCCGTTTGATCTGGAGGGCGTCGTTGGAGACGCTCACTGTGACCACTGTTTCCTTCGCAACTGTTAGCTTGCATGAGATCGTGTCCACTTGTTTACCTCTGACTTCGAATATGCTCAACCCAAAAAAGGTTTGCGAAGACCGAACAGGAAGCTCTCTGGCACACGCTTCTCGATAGGTTAGTCGGCATGGGTCCACACCGTGCTTGATTGGCATTATATCTGCGCTTTGCCAATGGCGTTCACGAAAGTGTCCCGGACTGTGACGGACGCGAACTTTGCGAAGACGATGCTGTTGAAGTCGCCCTTCACGAAAATATCCCATGGTTCAGGTGCTTTTGTACGCCGAATGTGATCTTGGAAGAACTGCATGGCGGAGTCAAGATCAAAAAGACCCCCCAAACCACCAATCACAGCATTGCACTCCCGCTCCTGGTTCGTGGTGAGCTCCGCGAACTGACGCTCCAGCTCCGGCAAGTTGCCCTCAATCTGAGATGTGGAAGTTGCCCCGGAGTGCGCAGATGGTGCCATCGACGGAGACCTGGTACCAGTCTGCTCCAAAGCCTCTATGCGATCGTTGAGTTGTTGCATGTCGTTTTTGATGGGGTCCAAGGCCTGCTGCAGCTCTCCTCTGGAGACGCCGTGCTCCTTGATAACTTCGATATCCCTGTGGAAATACTGCTTGAACATGCCCTCGATCGCGGTCATGCTGATGCCTCCCGTGGCAGATTGGGCTACACCTCCTCCTCCCTTCTCGATTGCGTTCATGCTGATCTCCCCCGTCGACGCCTCCGCTCCTCCTTTTCCCGTCCCACCTTTTGCCCCAGTATCGTCATCAAGCCCGTCCATCTAGTGAAGTGGGCTGTGGATCCGATGCTGCTCAAACAACTGCCTGACTGGTGTGCCCGGCAGTCGCTTCTCACCATCGCCTGGAGAAGCCATCGAAAAAGGCTGATGTAGAGAGTAAGAGTTGGAAAAGGAGTACAGTAAGTGAGTAAGATGGCAGCTTGAGCCAATGCGACCTTGAGCCAATGCGATCTTGAGCCAGGGTCAGGGTCAGGGTCCAAAAACACATGGGATTTGCCACATTTCTGAAATCCGGCGGCACCCCTCACGCAGATCCGTAGGGTCAGGGTCCAAAAACACAGGGGAATTGCCACATGTTTGAAATTCGGCGGCACCCCTTACGCAGATCCGTAGGGTCAGGGTCCAAAAACACAAGGGGTTTGCTACATTTCTGAAATTCGGTTGCACCCGTGACGCAGATCCGTAGGGTCAGGGTCGAAAAACAAACAGGTTCCGACACTGCTTCACGGCGGCGCCCAGACCTCATGATTTAGCTTTTGCATCTCCCATGATCCGAGACAGGAGGCTGGCGGCATGGATACATGTGTATATGTACATAGTGTATAAGTATGAATATACTAAGCATCTACATATTTGCGCAAATAGGTATGTACGAATATGTGTACATGTCTATGTATATGTCTTCATGCATGTATCATGCATATACGCATGCTCAAACAATAGCTCCCAAGCCAGGGCCAGCGGAAGGAAAGGGGGTTCGGCTCTACGCGGTTCCCAAGCATCCGTCAGCGCTGACCGCTGCGTACCCTTGCACCAGAGGCTGCTTCCTGCCACCGCCCGCCCGCGCCGCCGCCGCTGCCGCCGCCGCCGCCGCCGCCTCCCCCGCCGCCGTCGCAATCTTCGTCGGCGGTGGCTGCAATGAGGCCTGGGTACTGGCGTGAAACATCGACCCGGGACCTCTCCAGGTGCGCATTCTGGAAAGGATCTCGAGGCGGATCCCGCCGTGGCGACGGCGAGTCCCAGGAAAGGCTCCAAAATGTGAAACGGACAGCGAGATCCTCGATCCTCGATCCTCAGGAAAGGCACACAAAAAAAACAACCACAAAACGACTCGACCCTCATGGCCATGGCATCGCACATCTAGCCCGCTCGCCGCACGACCGCGCGCGGGCCTGGCCCTCGGTGTCGAAGAAATTGACGCACAGCTCGCCGCAATCCTGCGCGCAGGGTCCCGGCCCCCCCTTGGGCTCGCCGGTGGGAGGATCACGAGCCAGGCCCCTGACAGGAGCGCAACTCTGAGAAAACGCCTCCCTAAGCCTGCCAACCGCACTGGGCGATCACCACGACACACTTAGTGGGCGGCCCGCGGCCCGCGGTGGCAGACCTAGGAACGACGGCCCAAGCTCACGCGGACCTTAGTCAGCCGAGGTCCTGCGCCAGAACCCCCTGCCAGGAGGCCCCCCCCTCGGGGGGGAGCTTGCTTGCTTCCACTGCATCGATGCCGAATCAGAGGGTGGACTACTTTCATGCACCGTAAAGCCTGGATGACACGACTCTTTCCTATCAGGATATGGGGGTGCCTGGGGGCCTTCAACACCGTTGGGAACGCTGGGCCAAAAACGGCCCATGCACTACGTGCAGAACAACCTCGCGGAACCTCTTGACCAGGCCGGAAGGACCGAGTTGCACAAAACGGTTCCGACCCCTTCCCCAGTTGTCGAGATGAATGAAAACGACAGGATTGAAGAAACAATCCTGGCGAAAAACCAACCGTATTCAATTGTGAATACCGCAGTGTCGGTACCGCTTTCGTTGGAGCTCCCTATGGGGCGCATGTACTGGGTGGGGGAGACACATGCGGCCGCGGCCAGTGGGGCCTTCGGTGGAGCTCCCCATGGGGCAACGACGCACTGTGCTGCGTGGGGGGGGAAGCATGTGGCCGCAGCCACTGGGGCTTTCGGTGGATCTCCCTATGGGGGAACGAAACGCCGTACTGGGCGGGGGAGACGCGTGCAGCCGTGGCCAGCGTGGCCTTCGGTGGAGCTCCCTATGGGGCCACGAAGCGTTGTAAAGGGTGAGGGAGGCGCACGCGGCCGCGGCCACTGGGGCCTTTGGTGAAGCTCCCTCTGGGGCCACGAAGCGTTGTACTGGGCGGGGGAAACGCATGCGGCCGCGGTCATTGGGGCCTTCGGTGGAGCTCTCTGGGTGGCTATGAGGTGCTGCACTGGGTTGGGGAGACGCAAACGGCCGCGTCCAGTGCGGCTATCGGCGGAGCTCCCCATGGGGCCATGAGGCGCTGCACTGGCTGGGGAGACGCATGAGGCGCCGCACTGTATGTGAAGACAAGCATGCGGCCGCGGCCACTGGGGCCCCATGGGGCCACGACGCGCTGTACTGGGTAACGGAGGCGCATGCGGTCGCCACCGCTAGGGCCTTCGGTGAAGCTTCCAATGGGGCCACGACGCATCGTAGTGGGTGGGGGGGGGGGGCGCAGGTGGCCGCGGCCACAAGGGCCTTCGGTGGAGCTCCCTATCGGGCAACGAAACGCTGTACGGTGCGGGGGAGACGCGTGCAGCCGCGGCCACTGGGGCCTTCGGTGCTGTACTGTGCGGGGGGGAGACGCATGTGGCCGTGGCCACTGGGGCCTTTGGTGGACCTCCCTCTGGGGCTACGAAGCCTTGTACTGGGCGGGGGAGACGCTTGCGGCCGCGGCCACTGGGGCTGTCGGTGGACCTCCCTATGAGGCCAGGATGCGAGCGGTGTACTGCGTGGGGGAGACGCATGCGGCCGCGGCCACTGGGGCCCTCGGTGGAGTTCCCTGTGGAGCTAGGAAGCGGTGTAGTGCGTGTTGGGAAACGCAGGTGGCCGCGGCCACTGGGGCCCTCGGTGGAGCTCTTTGGGGGGCCACGCGGCGTTGTAAAGGGTAAGGGAGACGCATGCGGCCGCGGCCACTGGGGCCTTCGGTGGAGCTCCCAATGGGGCCACACCGCGTTGTACAGGGCGGGGGGAGACGCAGGTGGTCGCGGCCACTGAGCCCTTCGGTGGAGCTCTTTTGGGGGCCATGAAGCGTGTGAACAATGTACCGAATTGGTCGTGCGGAGGGCAGAAGCAGGGATGGGAGGAGGGAGGTGGAGAGGAGAGGAGAGGAGAGGAGAGGAGAGGAGAGGAGAGAGGAGAGGAAAGAAGATGAGGAGAGAAGGACGCGGGGCGCTGTCTCTTCATGGCGAAGACCACACACCACATAATGGTTGGGAACAAATCCTCCCAGATCTGGGTCCTCCCCGTTCCGGTCCTGCCCCGTCGGCTCTCCTCCCGCCCACGCTCGCGCTCGATATCGTCCTCTCTCCCTTGCTCTCTCCCCACGGGCAAAACGACCTCGACCATCGACCCTTTATCCTGCGGCGACGATGACGGCTCCCTCCCGCCGATCCCTGCGGGGGCCTCAGGAGCCTCCCCGATGCCCCCGGAGACGAACTCCTGGAGATCCCTGGAGGCTCGGACGGGGCCAAGAGCAAACAAACCAATCCTGGCGAATGACTGCAAGCCGGGTGTCAAAGCACATGGGCAATGATGCGACGCTCTGGCAGCAGCAGCGCCGCGCGGCGGCTTTCCAGTCTTCCGCTGGGATTGCCGCGAGTTGTTGAACGTCATGCACACTGCAATCACACATTCTCATCGCATGCGTATACAATTCATTTGACCAAACTGTTTCGGCCTTCCCCGTGGTCGTCTGCCACCGGGCGCACGCAGGATCGACGAGGATGGCTGGAAGACCGCGCGCCGCACTGGATGCTCGTCTGGGCGACGGGCAACCTGCGCAAAAAAAACATAATTGGCGATGCAACAAGGTGCGACTCAAGGGTGGCCGACGGGCCCTGTCCAGAACTACAGCGTTCGAAATGCGACTAATGTATGCATGTATTATCCCCCATATATTCCTCAAATAACGCACATGCAAGCTGACGATTTTAGCCAGCTCGTGCTTTTGGACACGCCGCGCGCAAACTGTACAACTTCGTTTGCACGCAGGCTTCGAAGATGAGCAACTTCCGCTCCGCAGTGAGGGTTGAGTGGGACCAGACTCGTGCCAGAAAGTCGAACTCGGACCTGGCGCAACCGATGCGCCTGCTCAGCTCGGAAACAATAGATCCATCGGCCGCCAATGCACTCCCAAAATATACCATGAACTCCTCTTCGGTGATCCGGACGCCGTCCAGACACGACACGCGCCCCTGACACCGGAATGACAACAGCTCGAGCTTGCCCACATTGAGTTCGAGGCCGTAATTAGTTAGCGCCAGCGGCAGCGGTAGACGTCATGTACGTCTGCGCGCGCTCCACGCTCGAGGCCAAGATACGGGTGTCGTCGGCGTGCACTAGCTCCTCTGCGTCTCCCATGCAGACACCCAGCGCGCCCCTGGCGTCGTGCAGCAGCACGGTCGTCGCCATGGCAAAGAGGAGATGGGAGAGCGGGCAACCTTGACAGATTCCCAAATGCTGCTCTTGGATCCCGGACGTCACGCCGGCGTCGTGCACCGAGAACTTTTCGCCCGTGTAGATGGCTCGAAACGCCCCCAGCATTTTCGCTGGGACTCCGAGGCGCCGCAGCGCTTCCAGCAGAGGCGCCAGCATGACGCTGTCAAACGCCTTGGCCCAGTCCAGAGCGAGAAGCATGAGCTGGCCCTCCGCGCTCGCCCACGTCTCTTCCACCCGTCGCCAGGCAAGGAAAATGGCGCCCGCGGTGCAGTGGCGCGACCCGCAACCAAACTGGGCGCCTCAGACGCGGCCCTCGGCACCGGCATCCTTCAAACGGCGGAGGAGGATAAACGCGAACAGCTTGTGCCCGGCCTGGAGAAGGCACGCGGGCCTGCAGTTGCCGCAAAAGGTGGCGCCCCCCTTCTCGAACAAAGCAATCACCAAAAAATTGCGCCGAGATTCTGGCACGGCGCCTTGTTCCCAGCATCGCCGGCACAACGCTGAGGCCCAAGCTCTTGCCGGGGTGTCCCGGGCGCAGACCTCTTTCCAGAAACCGCTAAGGATGCCGTCGCTGCCGCGCGCCTTGCCCCACTTCGTGCGCGTGGCTGCCTCGGTCACCTCCCAATCCTCGATCTGCCCCAAATTCACTGGCAAGTCGGGACCAAGGGAAGACGTCAACATTGGCATGGTCTCCCGCCCGCCAGGAAATCTGCCGGCGTGTCTGCGCGGGCCTCGGAATCCACCAGGTCGCCGCGAAGGTCGCGGAGCGTGCCGTGCTTCCGCCCAGCCGCTTCCCGCGATCGTCGCGCATGGCCCCAGTCGCCCGTCGCCAGGAGGCGTTCCAGCCACTCCAACCTGTCCGTCTTCACCGAACTCTTCGCGACGTAGTTGAGGTGTCTCCCTTCGGCCTGGTTGCCGCGCGCCCTGGCCTCGGTGCGTTTCTCGATGAACGAAATGGCGCGGTCCGCGATCCATGGCTTCCGCGGCGCCCGCGGCACAAGAGGTAGTACGGCGGCCGCCTGCTTGAAAGAGGCAACGGCTGCAGCGTCGATGTCGTCGACGGCGGCGTTGCCCGCGTCCGCGGCCTCCATCTCGTCGGCGAAGGCCGCGGCGAAACGATTGGCATGTCGCGGCAGCCGGAACGCCCGCAGATCGGGCTGGGGTGGTTGCTCGCGGCGGACCTCGATTGGCACCATGATGCTCATGTCCGCCTGCACAAGGAAGTGGTGTGGGACGCCAATGCCAAATCCCTGTTGCTTGCCACCGACTGCATATGGTCAGCCCAACTCAGCGAAACCAGGACGAAATCGATCTGGCCGAAATTGTCCGGAGTGGCCGGGTCGGACGGCTTCATGCCCACATTGTAACACGTGATTTGACGATGTGCCGGCTCATCGAACATTGTGTTGCCGACGACTCCACCAACAAGCTGCGATTGGAAGCGGCGTTGGGCTCAGATTGCGGGTGCCCAAACACGTACGGCCCCATGATATGCTCTTCTTGACGGTGGAGCCTGTGCGGGCGTGCGTTAAAAGTCCCCGAGCAAAATCATTGTGCCGTGCCGTGGCGTCTGCGAAAGAAAAGTCCCGAGAGTGGTGAAGAAGTGCTGCCTGTCCTCGAAGCTCGTCCCGTTGTGAGGCGCGTACACGCTTCCGACCATCGCTTCCCCGCCTAGCACCCGCAATTTCACGTATGCCATTATTGTTGTCTTTTGCTTGAACCCGATTACACTCGAGCACAGCCGCGAGAAGATGATGAAGCCAACGCCCGCCGTCTGTTTTTCCTCCTCGTCCGCGGCCCTGGAGAAGATGACCAAGTAGCCGCTTTCCGATATGTAGTAATCTGAGATGTCCCTGTGAATCTCTTGCATGCACAAAATGCCAATGCTATGTTGGCGCATGTGCCATTCGAGTTCGGCCTCTTTCGCGCCGGTGAAGCCTTCAACGTTCCAGGTGGCCACCCGGAGCTGCTGCGAGCAAGGACTGAGGCGACTTCCGCGGAAGACACGCGCCTGTCCGGCACGGTTGAATAGAGGCTGCTCCACAGTAGTGCCGACTGTCGGTGAAACTCCGTCGTTCGTGCATAAGTGAATTCTCAAAGGATGGTGGCTTATGGTTGCAGTATTGCCGACTGCTGCCGGTGAAACTCTGCCCATGCGCTGTGCATCCTAGTGGGGCTTGGTGCCCTTGCCCATCCGTTTGGTGTAGCCCTTCATGCCCTGGTCGGTGCAGGCGAGCAGACCCGCCGATGTGTTCGCAAGGTCCAAGATGAGGGAGGGGGTGGGCGTGCAATTCTTCTCACGCCGCCCACTCGGCGTGCCACTGATACTCAACGTCTGGGGTCGGAGGATCGCGCTGCATCGCTGATGCATTGGCGATGCATCGTCGAAGCACCGCCGACGTCGGCGACGCATCGGCGACGTCGGCGTGGAGAAAATCGGGCTCCACATCGAGCCGCATCGCCGATGCATCGGCGATGCGGCGCGATCCTCCGCCCCCATCTCCTCGGACCCCACCCAGGGGGCCTAGATTCACGGTCGCCGTCAACGCGCGCTCGCCACCGATGCTCACCTCGTAGGGGTCCCCGTCCGACACGCTCACGACGTACGGCACGTCGAACTCCTGCTTCAGGACCCGCTTGAAGCCAAGGCAGAAGTTGCGGGCCGCCTGGTCCGCTGGAGAGCGATCCTCGCTAGCCCACACCTTCTTGTCGCCGTCGTCGGGCGCGCTGGCACGGAGGGCTGCGACAGCACGGTCACTCGCGTCTGTACAGCCAAACTCGGCAAACATAACACCTTGGAACACGACCTTCGAGTAGACCTTGGACGGGGCTGGTGATGACAAAGCCCTGAGGCGCTCCGTCAGCCACTGGATCGACGTGGCAAGGTCCCCCAAGCCGTCCAAATTGCCAACGACCATGCTCACGGACCGCTTGGTCATGAGCGCGTGGGGTGAGGAGGCTGTGGTTTTGAGGGTGGGGCCCAAAGAGAAAGCCTCCTTGATGTACTCCTGGACCTTCGTCTCGAACGCGTCCCCTGCCGGATTTTTCTGCGCCATCGTCTCGCACAGGTTATCCAGCGTCTCGACGCGCATGTCTGTGTAGATGATACTCGCCTCCGCGTCCCCCAATCAGCTGACGAAGGACCCAAAACGGTGAAGCTACATATGGGGCCACGAAACGCGTGACGGGTGTGCCATATACATGGTGGTGGGGAGCGCATGCGAACTATGCCGGTGGTGCCTTCGGTGGAGCTCCCTATGGAGCGGCGAAACGTGTGAGGGGTGTGCCGAAATGGGGCCGATAGACGCATGTGGACCCTGCCACTTGGGCCGTCGGTGGAGTTCCCTGTGAGGGAACGGAACGCGTGGTGTGTGTGTGTGCCAAAATGGCGTGAGGAGTCGCATACGGACCCTCCCACTGTGGCCTTCGGTGGAGCTCCTCATGGGGCCACGAGGCGTGTGAGAGGTGTGCCGATATGAGGCGAGGACACATGTGGGACTTCGAACTGGGCCTTTCGGTGGAGCTCCCCATGGGGCCTCGAAGCGTGTGAGGGGTGTGCCGACTCGGGTTGGGCAAACGCGCGTAGATCCTGCCACTGAGGCCTTCGGTGGAGCTCCCCATGGTGCAAGGGAGCGTGTGAGAGGTGTGCCGAAATGGGGCGGGGAGACGCATGCTGCCGCGGCCACTGGGGCCTTCGGTGGAGCTCGCTATGAGGCAACAAAGCGCTGCACGGTAAGTGGGGAAAAAAGCATGCGGCCGCGGTCACTGGGGCTTTCGGTGGAGCTGCCTATGGGGCCACGAGGCGTGCGATGGGTGTCCCGAAATGGGCTACGGGGACGCACGCGGCCGCAGCCACGAGGGCCTCAGGTGGAGCTCCCCATGAGGCCGCGAAACGTGTGATGGGTGTGTCGAAATGGGTCGCGGGGACGCGTGCGGCCGCAGCCACTGGGGCCTCAGGTGGAGATCCGTGTGGGGCCACGGAACGCGTGAGGGGTTTGCCGAAATCGCTGCCGGGGACACATGCGGCCGCAACCGATGGGGCTTTCGGTGGAGCTCCCCATGGGGCCGCGAAGCGTGTGAGGGGCGTGCCGAAATGAGCAGTGGGAACGCGTGCGGCCGCAGCCTTCTGGGGCCTCAGGTGGAGATCCCTGCGGGGCCACGGAACGCGTGACGGGTGTGCGGAGCTGGTTGACTGATGCGTAGAGTAGAGGACAGGAGGGGGAAGAGGGAGGAGAGAGGAGGAAGGGAGGAAGGAAGGAGCGGGTGTCGCGGGGCGGTGTCCTTTCAAAACGAGAGCCCGACACCACAATATGGTTGGGAAAAAAACAGAATGTGCCACCGATTCTCCTCGACCCTCTTCATCGACTCTCCTCCTCGATCATCGTCATCGATCTTCCACGACCCTCCTCCTCCTCGAACCCTCCTCCTCGACCCTGCCCCTCGCCCCCTCTCCTCGACCCCCCTCCCCGGCCCGCTCCTCGACTCTCGTCCTCCTCGACCACCCTCCTCGGCCGCCCCTCCTCGACCTCCATCCCCGACCTCCTCTCCGACCCCTCTTCGACCCTCGATCGCGCTGCCGTTCTCCGCCCCGTGCGAGGACGGCGGGTCGGGGGGCGCACGGCCTCGGCGTCCGCCTCGAGGATCATCGCCTCGGCGGCCGCCTGGGACGGCTGCCCCTCCCTGCCGGCCCTCCGACGCCGTGGCAGCTCTGGATCGGGGCCGGGCAACTGTTGCAGGTCCGCCTCCTTCCTCTATGTTGTCCTCCTCCTCCTCCTCCTCCTTCTCCTCCTCCTTCTTTTCCTTTTCCTCCTCCTCCTCCCTCTCATCCTCCTCCTCCTTCTCCTCCTCCTCCTTCTCCTCCTCCTCTTATGGCTGTCTTCCTCCCCTGGGAGGGGTAACCAAGACCGCGGTCGAGCAGGTCCGCGCCAACATTTCAAGATCTGTTTTCGGTTTCCATCTCCGCCTGCCGCTGAGCGGCCGCGGCCTGGTGATGCATTTGTTCCATCAGTTCTCGTTCTCGCTCTCTAGCGGCCATGGCTAGGGCGAGTCTTTCAGCCTCTAACGTCTTCCGAACTTCTGCCATGGTTGCAGTCATCTCCTCTCGATCCAGATGGGCCCTTTCGGCCAACTGTGCTTCGCTGGCGAGGAATTCTCGCTGGGTGTTAGCCTCAGCTAGCCTAGCCTGATCCTGGATAATTCGCATTCGGAGATATTTGAAATTGCGCTCGCCCATTGGAAAGCACTCTATGCACAACCATTGGACACAACACTTGGGGCATACATCAGAGCAGCTCTTACAAACTGGATGCCTACACGCACCTTCTGGCCTGTCGGCTTTCCCTGGGCATCTGCTTTCCGCCTGAGGCGCGCAGTCAACGTTTGGGTTCCAGCATGCCTCCATTATAGAGATGGTACTGTTGCTCCTTGAAGTAGATTTCGCCCCTGATCTTGGTATGTTGGGACTTCCCCTGCTAGACGTATTCGATCTGGGGCGAACAAAAGTACTTTCCGGGGTTTAGGTACGTCTAGGAGCTCCTCATCCCTCTCGTCCTGTGTTATTAGCTCAGTGTACGAAGCTGGTTGTCCAACCATTTCCTCGTCCTCAACAACAGCTGGTATCGAGGGTTGCCAGTCGCCTGAGGTGGCTGCAGGACGATAGAAACCTTCTCTCAGTGGTGAGACGTTTAAGTCATAATCCTCGTTTCTCTGTTTTTTGAATTGAGGTGCAGGGGTCCGTCCTGTGGACTCCCTCTCATGCTTCGCCTGAGTCCCAGTCCTGTCCGCCTCAGGCGTCAGGATACTGGTATCTTCATCAGGTCCATCTGGGGGCCACCTCTCGCCTTTGGCGGGGTGATCTTCTTCCATCATCAGGGGCAATTCTCGGCTCAGAGAGATTTCGTTGTTGATATTGTCAAAATCTTCTTCCATTGAGTTTATTGCATGCTCTTTATCAATGGGATCATCGCTGTCCTGACCGAATTGACCATTTAACGCTACTGGGATGGGGAGATCTCTATCGTACCTGCCCATTCGCCTGGGGCGCCGGGGTACACGCCTGCGTTCTCATGGGCTTCCCCTTGCCGACTGGTTTCACCAGTGGCAGGCGCGATTGCATGTTTAGCATTCGGAATCGGGCTGGTTGACTCCGTCGATTTGGCACTCCAAGACGAGAGCGCGCTTCGTCTAGGTCTCGCTGTTATGCCCTTCCGCCCATACGGGCCTGGGGTTTGTTCCCAATTGCCAATCGGACTTCCAAAGGGAGATACATCTACCGACAACTATACCGCTCCTTCGGCGCTCCTACCCCTAGATACCCGAGTGGCGATACTGGAAGGAGGAATACGGCCCTGGCCAGGGCCGCTCTCATTGATGTCATGTCCGTCGTGTTGTACAACACACTGATCTGCGCTTCGCGAAACGACGGACACGTCATCTGCTTTATCACAGCTCATTCCCGCAGCGACTAAGTCGAGGGGTTCATCCGAAGTTCTTGCTTCTGGGTGAGATGACCCTGCGTCGACTAAGTCGCGCGTTTCGGCTGATAACCAGTCTTTCCTCTGAGAATCGGGATAAGATGCGAAAGGAATTAAGATCTCACGTTCACTCTGCTCAGGGAGAGAGGGGACGGGATGAGACATCGATAAGACAAATATCCATTAAGCAAGATTACTATATCAGGAATGTGTAGGGAGGAGGCCGGCTGGCCTACGACCGACGACGCGCGACGGCCGAGGGCTGGCGCGCTCCTTTTCTCTCCTGCAAGCAAACAGAAGCTTGCTTGAGTAATCAAATATAGCTGCGGGATGCAGCGCAAGTTCAAGGCAGGCAGTGCACAGCATGCAAATATATTAGTAAGTGATAATATTATGAGGCGGAGAGGAGCATATTTACTCTTCCCTCTTGGGTGGCATCGCTGTCGAGCGTCGCCGCAATGGAGACTTATGGGGCAGTAATAACTTGTTATTGCAAGTCATAAGTCGACAGTAGCGGGGGAAGCGTCCCGCCGGCGTCGCAGAGCGCGACGGCGGGCGGCTGCATGGCCACCCGCCACGCGCCGTTCCGTCGGGCGGGCCTGGCTCCCGCGCGGGCTTGCTCGCATGCCGAGCGGCCGTGCGTCGGGGTCCTCTCTTGCTCTCCTCACCTCCGCGCGCGGTCGTGTCGTCTCCACTCTGCCGCCTGGCCGCGGGGCGGGATATCAAGTACCCGGTCATGCATGTGGCGCCCTACCTGCCCATAGTGGCACTCTGGGGGTAGGGCGTCCGCCCAGGGTGTCTCCTCTGCTTGCCATAGCGCAGCTTTGGTTGACCTCTGGGGCGACGCGCGGCGCGTGCGTTCGCCATAGTGCGGCGGACGCGTCCGCGGTCGCGGTTTTGTTTTCTCCCTCCCACCACCCTCGAGGGGGGTGTGGTACCCATGTGCTTCGGCCGGCGCCCTGACGCGCCACCCGCCAGCGTTGGTCGACGTGGCGGGTCGGCAATTCGGCTCGGGGGGCGTCTGGCCGCGGCCTCACCCAACGCTGATTGGGTGCCGTCCTTCCCTCTTGGGTGGCATCGCTGTCGATCGTCGCCGCAATGGAGACTTATGAAACAGCACGCGGGTGACGCGTGTCGCCCAGAAAACCGTTTGAGAAAAATAAGTTGTGCCGCGCGTTATCCTGGTCGCCCACATGGGGCCACGCAATGTGAAAGTGTGAAACAACGCGCGGGTGACACGTGTCACGCCAAAAACCGCGCGAAAAGAACTAAGCCAAAAACCGCGCGAAAAGAACTAAGCGTTCCACTCGCATTGTGGTGGCCAACATAAGCCCACACAGCGTGGAACAACACGCGGGTGACGCGCGTCACCCCGAAAGCCGCGCGAGAAACACAAATTGTTCCATTGTTAACTCTTCTGGCTGGGACTGGGACTGGCTTTTCGGACTCAATCGGCTCACAAATCAAAATCATCATCGTCATCATCATCATCATCATCATCATCATCAGCATCAGCATCAGCATCAGCATCATCATCATCATCATCATCATCATCATCATCAGCATCAGCATCAGCATCAGCATCATCATCATCATCATCATCATCATCATCATCATCATCGTCATCAGCATCATCAACATCATCATCGTCATCGTCCTCGTCATCGCCATCGTCATCATTATCACCTCGTCGTCTTCATCATCATCATGATCATGATCATGATCATGATCATGATCATCATCATCATCATCATCATCATCATCATCATCGTCCTCGCCACATCCTCGCCATCGCCGTCGCCATCACCGTCATGATCATCATCATCTTCGTCGTCGTCACCCAGGATCGCCATAGAATCGCCGACCTTCGGCGGGGGACGGGGGAGGCAGATGGGAGACATGTTTTTGCTAGCAATCGCGAGACTCCCGCAGGTCTCGGTCCAATGCGTCTGGGACTGTTACAGTCTACTTATGTTGCCTCGAGCGGCCCCCGCCGAAACCTGTGGAGCGACCCCCGCCGACAGCTGCAACGGCGCAACCTTTGGATCGATCTCCCTGTGAAGCGACCCCCGCCGAAACCTTTGGAGCGGTCGAGCGACCCCCCCTTCTACAGCGATCGCCGCCGAAACCTTTGGAGCGATCCCCGCCGAAACCATTGGAGAGATATCTCCTCACTCTCTCTCTTTCTCCCTGTCTCTCTCTCTCTCTCTATTTCTTTATTTCTCTCTCTCTCTCTCTTTATCTCTGTGTCTCTCTCTCTCTCTCTCTCTCCCTCTCTCCCTCTCTCTCTCTCTCCTTTCTCTCTCGCTCGTCTCCGTAGCTGTCGGATCGCCTCCCAGGACGCCCGCGCGCTCGCGCCCCCCGCGCTCCCCCCGCGCTCCCGCCAGCTGCAACCCCGCCGCGCTGCACTTCTGTCACGAGTGTGGCAACTTCGCCACCGTCGACGTCCGACATCTACGAAAACCCTGCCCCGGCAGCACGCCCAAGGGTCGAGAGAACCTGGCCAAGATTGCGAGGGGCCTCTACCCGAGACGGGGAGGGGCCACCCAGAGCCGTCCTCGAGGCTGTGCGCCAGGACGAGGAGCAGGAACTCATTCGGAGCGTGCGTGACAGTTTTGTGCTGCAAGAGGGGGAAGGTCCTTTTGCCCACGGCCCTGGGGAGGGGTCAGGCTCTGGGGAGCCTGCGTGCGCGGTGCTTCCATGCCATCGGAGCCCTGGTCCAAAGAACCTCGTGTCGCCCCTCAGGATCCTGAGGCGGCCAAATGCCTACTCGGTGGAGAGCCCCAGCAAGTTGCAGATTCCCCCAGCAGCGTCGGACGTTGGCGTCAGCTCTCGTTCGGGGTTTCTCAGGATGAACTCGCGGTGGATCCGCTCTTTTAGACTCCTCTGTAGAATCCTCCTCCTCCTCACTCTCCCTCTCCCTCTCCTCCTCCTCCTCCTCCTCCTCCTCCTCCTCCTCCTCCTCCTCCTCCTCCTCCTCCTCCTCCTCCTCCTCCTCCTCCTCCTCCTCCTCGTCATCTTTTTTTCGACTTTGCGCGGCCATGGATCAGATGCTCGCGGCGTTATAGAGCTCCTCCTCCTCCTCGTCCTCCCCCTTGGTGGATCTCTTCGCGCCGCCTGGAGCTCCGGGTCGGCGGCCTCCGCTGCCTCTCGGGCGCCCTCCTCGGCGTCCTCCTCTGCGGCCGCCTCGGCGTCCGCCTGGGCCTCCGCACCGGCGTCCGCCTCGGCGCTGGAGAGAAGGAGGAAGAGGAGGAGGACGAGGAGGGGGAGGAGGCGGAGGAGGAGGGGGAGACAGGAGTAGAGAAACAGAGATGAGGAGGGGGGGACGAGGAGGGTCTGCTAGCAGCCTCATCCTCCGTCCACACTGGCGGGTCCACACTGGCGGCTCCTCCTCCTCCTCCTCCTCCTCCTCCTCCTTCTCCTCTTTCTCCTCCTCCTCCTCTGACTCCTCCTCCTCCTCCTCCTCCTCCTCAACATCCTCCTCGTTCTTGCTCCTCCTTCTCCTCCTCCTCCTTCTCCTCGTCCTCCTCCTCCTATGCCCGCACTTGCGGGTCCCACACCCTGGGGGTTGCCTCTCCTCCCCCTCTTCCTACCTGTTTTCTTCTTGTCGTCATATTAGAGAGAGAGCGTGATCCACCGCCGCTTTGCTGCGGAAAATTCTCCCCTTTTTCCTCCGGAACCCAGGAAATTCGCCCCCCCCCACCCCCCTCCGAAAATTCCCCCCCCTGCTGGACCCCCCCCACCCCCCTCCCTCCCCGGCAACCCCCCCCCCCGTCCCCCCCCACCCCCCCCTCCCCCTCGAAAACCGGAGGGGCCACTACCGGTTCGAACCCCCCCCCCTCCAAAACCGGGGGGGGGTCACTACCGGTTCGAACCCCTCCCCCCCCCCTCACCGCCAGCAAACGACTCCCGGTCCCTACCACCGTCCGCACCACATCCCCCACTGTTGTTCCCAGCACCACTGTCCTCACCACCACTGTCCCCACTGGTTCCACCACCGTCCCTACTGTCCCCACCAGTGCCCCCACCACTGTCGCACTGTCCCCACTGTCCCCACCACTGTTCCCACCACGGTTCCACTCTCCCCACTTTCTCCACGGCCCCAACCACTGCCCGACTATCCCCACTGTCCCCACTGTCCCACTGACTCCTCCGCTGTCCCACTGAGCTGTCCCACTGTTCCCACCACTGTCCCCACTGTCCCCACCACTGTCCCCACTGTACCTCTGTCCCATTGTCCCACCGCCGTCCTCGCCACCGCCTTCACCACTGTCCCCACCACCACTGTACCCTCCACTGTCCCACTGTTTCCACCACATTCCCACTGTCCCCACACCACTGCCCCCACCACCACCGTCCCCACCACTGTCCCACTGTCCCCACTGTTCCCACCATTGTCCTCACCACTGTCCCCACCACTACCGTCCCCACCACTGTCCCACTGTCCCCACCACTGTCCCGCTGTCCCCTCGCCACTGTCCCCACCACCACCGTCCCCACCACTGTCCGCACCCCCCCGCGGTTTTCGAACGGGGGGGGGGAAATTCGAACCGGTAGTGATACCCCCCCCGGTTTTCGAGGGGGGGGGGAGGGGGGATTCGAACCTGTAGTGACCCACCCCCTTTTCATGATGGACTGGGGGGGGGGAGGGGTTCGAACCGGTAGTGACCCCCTCTGGTTTTCCGGGGGAAGGGAGGGGTACGAACCGGTAGTGACCCCCCCCCCGGTTTTCCGCCAGCAGCGGTAGAACACGCTCTTTTTCATATTAGTATGCGTTGCCTTATGGTTGCTATCAGTAATATTCGTAATATCACTTTAATAGTATTGCCAGCACTAGTAGTATTTATGATGTAGTCGTATTCGTATCAATGTCATTGCAATGATCATTAGTAGTGTTTTCATATTTTAGTTCCCCACATGCTTCGTGGGGTTCTGGTTTTCTTCCCTGCCGCGCCGCACCCGCGACACTCCCACACACACACACACACACACACACACACACACACACCTCACTCTTCCTCTCCTCCCCACAGCACTGCTCAGCACATCTCAGCTCAGCTCAGCTCAGCTCAGCACGGCACAGCTCAGCACAGCACAGCTCAACTCATCTCAGCACAGCACAGCGCAGCACAGCACAGCACAGCATAGCTCAGCCCAGCTCAGCTCAGCACAGCTTAGGGGGTGCGCAGGGGGTGGTCCCTCACCGCGGCCGCACGCAGGAAT